TTGGGAAGGCTTCTTCACCCTGGATATCTCTCTCCGTAGGTTGCGTGCTCTTATACAAGCAGGACTTCACGAAGAACCTGGGACTTTGCTGCATCACCTGCACCTACTGCTCGCAGACGTGCCAGCGGGCCGTGACGGAGCAGCTTGAGGGCAGCACCTGGGACTTCTGCAGCGAAGACTGCAAGAGCAAATACCTGCTCTGGTACTACAAGGTCAGTCCGGCACCACCACCCCCCCCAGCATTGGGAAGCTTGGGGCTGGGGCGGCGGCTCTCCCTTCTGGAAAGCAGCCCGTCTCCCCTGCCTTGGCTTGCGCAGCGGGTTACCCTCCTGAAGAGAGACGATTTGGCCGCACTGGTGCATCTTCCCTGCACGTTGGGCCAAAAGCGGGAGAAGCCGCTCCATGAACAGGGTCTCGTTCCTGGGGAATAAATGCAGGGGCGGATCCCCAGCACAGATGGAGACGAGCGGGCTCCCTGCAGCTCTTGGCCCAGGAGAGACCTGCCCTGAGGTCATCCAGGGAGGATGCTTTGAGCGTCAGGTCCCAAAGGGTACCAGAACCTGGTTAGGTTATCCAGAAGTTGACGAAGGACCTGGAAACTGAGCCCTGTCTGTGAGGAACGGTTCCGTGCCTCTTCATCTGAGGTTTTGCAATGAGAGGGCCTCAAACTGGGCTTGGATTGACATCTGTCCGTCCGGGGTGCGGAAGCTGTGGCTTCCCTGTTGGCACCAGGTTGGACAAGGTGACTCGTCTTTTCCAACTTTGTTGTTTAGTCATTAAGTTGTGTCCAACTCTTTTCAACCCCATCAACCAGAGCACACCAGGCCCTCCTATCTTCTACTGCCTCCTGGATTGGGTCGAATTCATGTTGCTCGCTTCGATGACCCTGCCCATCCATCTCGTCCTCTGTCGTCCCTTTCTTCTCCTCTTGCCTTCACACTTTCCCAACATCAGGGGCTTTTCTAGGGAGTCTTCTCTTCTCATGAGATGGCCAAAGTATTCTTTGGAAGTCTGCATTCAGTTTTCTGTAGCTTTCCCTATCTCCCTTGCATTTTGTTTCCCTTCTCCTCTCTGCTATTTGTAAGGCCTTGTTGGACAGCCACTTTGCTTTCTTGCATTTCCTTTTCTTTGGGATGGTTTTAGTTGCTGCCTCCTGTACAATGTTACGGGCCTCCAGCCATAGTTCTTCAGGCACTCTGTCCACCAAATCTAGTTCTTTTTCCAGCTGGTATTGTGCAATTTCCTCCATGGCCTCCCAGCGGAGGTCTTCCCATCATCCAGAGAGTTCTCCTCCCCCTCCTCCCAGTAGTGATGTTCGCAGAAATGCGAAAGAACTTAAAAAGAAAAAAGTTGAGGGAGACTTGAAAAGCAGGTGGTTGAGCTGGAGCTCATGGGGTTGCGTGGGACAGAAAGCCTAGGGCTGGCAGGAATGCTGCCTGTCCCCCTTTGCACCCTGAGCCCCATAGCTGCCTATTCCAGTGGTCCAGATTCTTGTAAAAATCTTCACCATGTGCTGTCACATCTCTGACGGATGGCGACCCTTTTTCAGGACTTTCCAGGCAGAGGACAGTCAGACGGGGCTTCTCTTCCTCCGGGGGTGCGCGGGGGACTGTGCTGCCGGCCCAAGGCTACTCCCGCTGCCTCTACCCACGGAAGGCTCCGTGGGGGATTGGACTCCCAGCCTCTGGCTCCACGGCCAGGTGCCTAAACCACTGAGCGACCCGGCCAGTTCCAGAATCAGTAGCAAGGTGCTTAAAGGAGGTGCCCCTCTCGTCTTGGAATCGTTAACTAAAAGTGTGCATCTTGATATAACAACTCATCCTCATCATCACAGCTGTCAAAGATCTAGAAGCTTGTTCTTAGGAGTTTCCCTGCCTGAAGGCAGGATTCCGTGCTTCCTGGGAATTTGGCTTTGATGGAACCGTCTAATTCCGTTCTTTTTCCCCCCTGCTGTGGCTTTCAGGCGGCCCGATGCCACGCCTGCAAACGCCAGGGGAAGCTGCTGGAAACCATCCATTGGCGAGGACAAATCAAACACTTCTGCAACCAGCAGTGTCTGCTCCGGTTCTACAACCAACAGAACCAGCCCAACCTGGACACCCAGAAGGGGCCCGAGAGCCTCCTGAACAGTGAGTCGCCGGAGGGGTTCCGACAGGGGCCTTCCAGGGCATGACCCCGGGGGTGGGTGGGACCGGGGGGTGTATTGTGGGTCTCGTCAACCTCTCGGGTTTTGTGGGTCAGCCAAGAAGAAGCTGTTCTGGAGCTGCCTCTGGCTCCCAGCTGCGCTTTGCAGGGAAGCTCCGAGATGGGACTCCACGAGGTGGCTGCCTTCTCCAGCAGAGGGTCCCACGGACGACGGGGCCAGGAGTGGGCGGCCACCCCGCCTGTGGATAGCTAGCTCACCTCCCTGTGCCTGTGCCCCAGAATCCCCAGTGAAAGCAGACCGGCCTCGGGAGGGAGGGAAGCCGGAAGACCCTCCTTGGGCTGAAATGGGGAGGAGGTCCCGGCCAGGGCTGGGGAAGGGGCCAGGGCACCCTTCCTGCAGTGCCTCCCTCTTCCTTCCTCTGGGGAGGCCTTTTGGGGGGCTTCTTTCCCCTCTTCCTGGCGCGCCCCACCCAATCCCACTCACTTGCCCATCGAGGAACAACCCTCCGCTGTCAGGGCCGGAGGCTGAGCCTGTTAGTTTTATGGACTACAACTCACGCGATCCCCAACCCGCATGGTCTCTGCCCTTGTCGGCAGGGCAGAACTATGGGAACTGTAGTCGGGGGTGGGTGGGGAAAAGCTTTGTCCCTTGGGGGAGAAATGTATTTCTTCCTTTCTGCTCTCCTGCATGTGTAACTGCCGACGGCGACGACTGTTGTGCAGATATAACCTGTGCCACAGCTGCCCGGCGAGGCCTCCTGCATTCAGAACATGGTCCTCGCCTGGAAAGGGGGAACTCATCCTCCCCCCCCTTTTCTTCTCTCTTGCAGGTCAGAACCCGGAGCCCAAGCAGCCGTCCTCAGCGCCCCAGAAAGCAGAGACCAACACGGTGAGCAGTCCCACCGGCCTCGCTTTGTGGTGGCCTTCAAGCAGCCCTGTGTCTGTTGCAATCAAAGACCCTCAACTGGGGTGGTTGGGTCTGGCTTGGAGGCCAGAAAAGGAAGCCAGGTGGAGGTGGTATCTTTCAGGGGCCTGAGCTGAGAGCTGCGGAAGGAATCTGGGGTCTCTTGGTGGTCCTGCAGCAGCCCAGGGCCCCCCAGTCTGGGGTGGGGGTGGGGGGGAAGCGGTTGTGGTTTTTAAAAAGTCCTTCCTCCCTCCCTCCCCCATCTCTGTTTCTTTCTTTCTTTCTTGGAGGGCCGTTCCCAGCGGCCATCCTGGCTGAAGGGTCTGGGACTTGTCACACTCTACCTGCCCCCCCCAATGCCTTTCCTGAACTGCTGCATGGCGTGCACAGGAGGAGGGAGGGGGAGGAGGCCGGAGGGTGGTTGCTCCAACTGCTGACACGTCTCTCCCGGTGCGGGTCTGTGCCCAGGTGCCTGCCAAGAACAGCTCTGCCTCAACAACCCCAGCTGCTGCTGCCCCTCCTGCGCCGTCTCAGCCGGCCACCCCGCGCAAGAACAAGGCCGCCATGTGCAAGCCCCTGATGCAGAACCGGGGGGTTTCCTGCAAGATCGAAATGAAGTCCAAGGGATGTCAGACAGGTAGGGGAGCACGAGGGAGGGGCCATCGTCGCCTTGGGGTCACGAGGCTCGGCGGGTGGCCCTCGGGCGGCCACCTCTCCTTTCTTAGGGAGAGCCGCCCTTTCTCCCGAGGACTGTCCGGACCACATCTCATGTAAGGCGAAAAAGCCCGCAGAGGAGAGCTGGGGGTCCTGGAAAGTGTCCACCCAGAGCTTTGCCCGGATGGCCAGCGGGCTCCGCAGGTGTCACACAGACAACCCCCGGCCAGAGCCTTCCCTGCTTTTGTCCTCTTTCAGCGGGGGGGTGTGTGTCATTTTTTCCCATCTGCCCCCCTCTACGTTTCCACCCATATGTGGGACGTGCCGCCCAGGGGGACCTGCTTCTGCTCGCTGCTTGAGGGGAACAGGCCGGTCGGGAGGGAGCCGTGTGTGGGGTCGGGGGGCTTGGGAAGGGAGCCTATCTGCCCCCTCTGCTCTCTGGAAGTCTTGAGGGGACAGGAACCGCCCCGCCTGACGGACGCTCCCCCTTTCTCCCCGCCAGAGGACGACTGGAAGCCCCAGGTGGTGGTGCTGCCGATCCCTGTGCCCATCTTTGTGCCTGTGCCGATGAACATGTACTGCCAGAAGGTCCCTGTGCCTTTCTCCATGCCCGTCCCGGTAAGTGGGCTGCACGGCCGGCCAGGTCCCTTCCCTCTTCCTGGGTGACTCTGCCATCTTGGGCGTCTCGCCCCTCTGATGCCTCCTCCCCTCCTCTCTTCGAGGTCCCTGTGCCAATGTTCTTGCCCACCACCCTGGAGAGCACGGAGAAGATCGTGGAGACCATCGAGGAGCTGAAGGTGAAAATCCCCTCCAATCCCCTGGAGGCCGACATCCTCGCCATGGCGGAAATGATTGCGGAAGCCGAGGAGCTGGACAAAGCCTCGTCGGACCTTTGCGGTAGGTGCAGAGGGAGTCCCTTCCTGCTCGGCCGGCGGTGCCAGAGCAGGGGCTGCAACTCTCTGGCTGCCTCCCAGCCGGCTAGAGAGGAAGGAAGAGGTCTGGGAGGGAGGTGCGCTTTGCCAGCGACCCAGAGGCACCTCCACGTCCCGCATCGCCTGCCTCTGACCCCACGAAGGTGGGGATTACAGGCCCAGGAGGCCTCTCCAAAGAGCTCCTTCTGCTCCGGCTCTTAGCGTGCTGCTGCCTGGGCCTCCAGAAGGAAGGGTGGGGGATTTCTATGCCTTTCAGGAACAATGAACCTTTGGCAGCCATAGGGCCACCTTTCGTGGTAGCTAACACCCCAGCGGCCATATGCCATGGTTTATTCATTTATTTATTTTATTTATATCCCACCCATCTGGTCTGGTCGACCAGGGTCCAAGCAAAAAGGGGAGGGGGTTGTGCAAGACTTCCTCACCCCACCCCTCTTCCTTCTTCCCCCTTCTTTCTCTCTTGCCCATCTTTCTCTCTCTCTCTCTCTTTCTCTCCCTGGCTTGGAGGTTGCTGTTGCGTCCACCCAGTGTCCTTTGTTTATTTTCCTTAAACCCAAGTCCACCCTCTGGATGCGTTTCCTCACTTCACGCTGCCACCAGGTATTATTCACTCAATACCAAATAGGTATCTTAGACACGTGCTGCCAATACAACAGATTTATTGGTATTACAGATGTTATGCAATTCACAGGAGAAAATCACAGATGTTTAGGAGTGTTCTTTAAATATCATTTCACGTTGCTTTGTAGGTATATTTATTCACTGTTGCAATATTCTTTGACTATCTATTTATTCTCTATTCTTTTGAACTCTTTTCCTATTAACTCTAGCATTCCAACTTTCCGATCTCTGTTCTCACTTTCTCCATTCAATCAGTTCCCTTTTTCCCAACTCTCCTCTCTAGCTGCCAACTGTCGATAACTGTCTTTTTGGTTCCGCCCCTCCTGTCCTCTCATAGGCTCCTGCCCTTGAGCTCACCATGATGGACAGGCGTGACCACAGTTGCCTAGTGAGGTTCTGATTCCTCTGCACGCCCGCATCCTTGCCACCCCCATGCTTTTGGGTGTAGGGGCCCAGGTGGGGCGTGCGTGGGGGGGGCACAGCTGCTCCCTCTTGCCTGGCAGGGACGCGCTCTCTCTTCCGCGGAAGAACACAGCCGGAAGGGGGGTGTTCTTCTTCTCCATTCGGCCTCGGGGCCCTTTCTCGGGTCTGGGGGGGAAGGCCCTCCTTCCCGTCTCCGGTGCTGGTTAGAGCCGGAGGGGCCGGGCTGATGCCTTTTGTCCCCGCAGACCTGGTGAGCAATCAGAGTGCCGAAGGCCTCCTGGAGGACTGCGACCTCTTCGGGCCGGCCCGAGACGATGTGCTGGCCATGGCCGTGAAGATGGCAAACGTCCTGGATGAGCCGGGCCAGGATTTGGAAGCCGACTTTCCCAAAAGTAAGGGCCAAGGCAGTTGGGCGTGACGGGCGGGCAGGGAGCTGGGAGGAGGAGCCTCCCATCTCCCCGCACTGACCGCAATGGCTTCCTCCCCTCCCTCCCTCCCTCCCCAGACCCCTTGGACATCAACCCCAGCGTGGACTTCCTCTTCGACTGTGGCCTGGTGGGCCCGGAAGACGTCTCCGCTGACCAAGACTTGCCTCGAGCCATCCGCAAGGTGAGGGCGTGGCTTGACTCGGGGACCTGTAGGTGCCCTCCTCCAATGGGGCACGGCGTGGCACTTGCCCGTGGCACTATGGATTGGACACGGCTTGTCAGGACAGGAGGGGACACGGCTAGAATGGCCTCTGTGAAGGCCGCCCCGTGGAGACCCTGGCTCTGAGCTCACCAGGCAGCCGGAAGACGCGTTGGCTAGAAGGGAGCGGTTCCTGCCTGTGAAGACTTGGGGGGGGGAGGATGACCTGCTGCAAGGATGTTTCTCTCCCCCCCCCCTAATGCTGTAAAAGGAAGGTCTGCCAGCCTTACTCTCTGTGTGCTTGCCTGCATGTGTGGACGTGGAAACAAAGCCGTCCGGCAGGCCTCTGTCATTTAGGCAATCGGTGCTGGGGGTTTGGGCTCCCTGGTTCTCTCTCTTTCTCTCTCTGTCTGTTGGGAAGCATCCGGCTCCGCGGGCCATTCACCTTCCCGTCCTCCTCCTCTTCCTCCTCCTCCTTGTTGCCAAACAGGGCCAGAAGCGCCTGGTGCTCTCGGAGAGCTGCTCGCGGGACTCCATGAGCAGCCAGCCCACCTGCACCGCCCTCAACTACTCCTACGGCGTGAACGCCTGGAAGAGCTGGGTGCAGGCCAAGTATGCCGGCGGGGAAACCAGCAAGGGGGACGAGCTGCGCTTCGGCCGTAAGTGCGGCGGGTTCAGGAAGGGCAGTGCAAGGCCAGGCTGCCAGGGGGTGGGTGGGGAGGGGTGGGGAGGAATCGGGAGGCCGGTGGGTGCCCCCCCCGGCTCCCAGGCCTAACGCTGTCCCGGTCCCACAGCCAAGCCCATGCGCATCAAAGAGGACATCCTGGCGTGCACGGCCGCAGAGCTGAATTACGGGCTGGCCCAGTTTGTCAAAGAGATCACTCGGCCCAACGGGGAGCGCTACGAGCCGGACAGCATCTATTACCTCTGCCTTGGCATACAGCAGGTGAGCAACCTCTGGTGGCAGACCGGCTCCCCCATCATCCCGGCAGCAGTGCGGCCAAAAGACCCGGCCGTCCTGTCGTCTCCCTTCTGGTGCCCCCTGCCTCCCGCCCGAGTCTCTTCCCAGGGGCGGAGGAAGGGTTTTGCCCAGGAGGGCTTGGCTGCCTTTCATGGGGTCAGCCCTGTTGTTGCGGCGCAACAGAAGGGCCGTTCCGTCTCAGAGCAACCGGCTCCCCCATCATCCCGGCAGCAGTGCGGCCAAAAGACCCGGCCGTCCTGTCGTCTCCCTTCTGGTGCCCCCTGCCTCCCGCCCGAGTCTCTTCCCAGGGGCGGAGGAAGGGTTTTGCCCAGGAGGGCTTGGCTGCCTTTCATGGGGTCAGCCCTGTTGTTGCGGCGCAACAGAAGGGCCGTTCCGTCTCAGAGCAGACGGAGGCAAGCATTAAAGCCAACAGAAGGGCCGTTCCGTCTCAGAGCAGACGGAGGCAAGTGGGCAAGCACGGTACGTTTGGGGGGGGGAATCCGTGGGGAAGGGATTTTAAGGCCCCCTTGCCTCTGCCCTGGCGCTCCTTCGCTGGACCAAGGCCACAACACCTGCGGGAATTGACCTGATGGTGTGTCATGGTTACCAGCTGTGTACTCTGTGCTTCGGAGGAATGGTGGACTTGTAGAATGGCCGCATTGGAAAAGGGGCCCCGAGGACCTTCCTTGCAGAGGGTGCGGGATCATCCCAGACGGAGGGGGGCCAGGCCTCTGTCTCATAACCTCCAGCAAAGGAGAGTCCCCTGCCTCCCGAGGTGACCCATTCCACTCTCAGTGGGTGGGTTCTGAAGTCCTGGGGCTCTTCTTCTGAGTGAGGAATGACCACCTCCTCTCCCGCGATGCCAGTAGGGAACGGATTGTAAAAGCAAAGCAAAAAGCAAAGCGTGCTGCTTATATACCGCCCCATAGCGCTTCAAGCACTCTCTGGGCGGTTTACAAGTTAATTATGCAGGCTACACATTGCCCCCCCCCCGCAAGCTGGGTACTCATTTTCCCGACCTCGGAAGGATAGAAGGCCGAGTCAACCTTGAGCTGGCTACCTGGGATTGAACCCCGGGTCGTGAGCAGTTTTGGCTGCAGTACAGCAGTTTAACCCCTGCGCCCCGAGGCTCTTAGTTGTAGTTCATGAAAGCTGAAAGCGGGTGGTGGTTTATGCTAAACTGGATTTGTGCCTCTGAAGGGCTGAGTGTTGAAAAAATGGGCCCTGTGGGCAGCCAGACGTCCCCCCACCTTGGAATCTGAGTGGGGGGCAGAGAGGTCTCTCTGTGTGTGTGTCTTTGTGTTTCCTTTCTCACCACCAACCCTGACCTGTTTCCCTCCTCCAGTATCTGCTGGAGAACAACCGGATGGTGAACATCTTCACGGACCTCTACTATCTGACCTTTGTCCAGGAGCTCAACAAGACGCTGAGCGGCTGGCAGCCTACGATCCTGCCTAATAGTATGTGGGGTTGGGGGGGCCAGGAGGGGGGGGGG